GAAGATGAGATGGCTGAGTGTGTCTGGCATTGTTTCTGCATCTTCTAATCTGTTCCACTGGTCCTCAGGTCTGTTTCTTTGCCAGTACCATGCTGTTATACTTTTCCTGTTACTCAGTTGTTTGACCAAGTGACTTTCTCATTTGACAGTCAAAAGTGAAATAGACCTTTACTGTGTTCTGATCCATTGCCTTACACAGTGGGTTACTGGTTAGGAAGGTAGAAAGGAATATGGAAAGGGATTTTGAAAAACCTAGAAGCTAGGTGTGATAGTGCACGCCTATAATCCCAGCACTCTGGAGGCTGATGCCAGAGGATTGCTGTGAGTTCGAGGCAAGCCTGGGCTACATAGTGAGTTCAAGACCAGTTTGAACTACATAGTGAGACCCTGTCTCAAAAAATGAAACAAGGGCTGGGGATTTAGCTCAGCGGGCACCGTGCCTGCCTTGCAAATGCAAGGTCCTGGGTTTGATCCCCAGTACTGAAAAAAATAAAAAAAACAAATTGCAAATGCAAGGTCCTGGGTTTGATCCCTGATACTGAAAAAATCAAAACAAAACAAAAACCAAAAAACAAAAAAAATCCAAAAAACCCAAACCTAGGAACACAGTTACTCTAGTTTTGTGTCTGTGCTACTGAAAATCCTATCCAATCAATGCCTTCCTTGTGAGTTGTGTTCTAATATTTAGAAACAGAATATAGCAGTTACTTTTTAAATGCCTTATCAAAGCAAGTAGTAAGCTTACTGTTTAATAGAAATGGCAGGTGATTACTGTGTTTCAGCTGGTTGTTTGCTAAAGTTAATTAGCTTTACTATGAGAGCAACTTATTTTTTGATGAAGTACCATTTATGTTTTTTTATTTTTGTTTTTTGAGATGGGGTCTAGCTGTGTAGTTCAGGCTGGCTTTGAACACACTATGTAGCCTAACCTGACCTTGAACTCACAGTGATCCTTCTACATCAGTCTCCTGAGTACTGGGATTATAGGTGTGCACCACAATGGCTAGCTACATTTCTGGAAAATTTAGTTAAATCTCAGTATTCTGGTTGGACTTCTTAAATATTGGTGGTTTTTGTCTTTTGGCGGGGGGGCGGTGGGCTTTTTGAAAAAAATGTTAGCATGGAAGGTAAAGGATAGTGAAGTAGAATTGTATAATGGACTCCTTTATATCACTCAGTTTCTATAATTATCAATGTTCTGCCATTTGTTTCATCACTGCCCTTCACACCATCTTTTCTCTTCTAGGTATATTTTAAATCATTAATATAATTATACATTCATTGCTTTTCTGGTTCTAAAAACAGAGGCCTAGTTCATAGCCTGGAAACTTCTTTTCCTCTTGCCAGTGCCTCTGCCCTGGGGTGACATCACTATCTTTTTAGTGACTTCACCCTGAACATATCAGTTGTTCACTTTTCTCATTCCTTATATCACATTATTCACTGATTTCCATTGGTTCCTTCTTTTAAAGATCACTAACATCTCTTTTCCGGTGTCCATTTCTACCATCATCCAGCTCTTTATATTTTGCCCATAGTAAGTACTGGTAATTGGTTGCAGAATTTAATAATCTGAGAAATCTACTAGCCTTCTGCTGCTACCTTCTTACTTTCTGTCATTACTATTTATATAAATAAATTTAGCCAGCATGGTGGCACACGCCTGTAATCCCAGAACTTGGGAGGCTAAGGTAGGAGGGTTGCTGTGAGTTCAAAGCCAGCCTGCACTACAAAGTGAGACCCTGTCTCAAAAAAATCTTCAGATTAGTTTTCCTAAATAGTAATTTAAGCACCAGTGTGCTTGACACCCTGATGACATTGCCCATGATTGCTAGGCCAGTGTTCCCCAAACTTTGCTATAGATTGGAATCACTGGGGAAACTTTCAAAAATCCCCATGTCTGGGCTGGGCCGGGGATTTAGCTCAGTGGTTTCGCTGCCTGCTGCGCAAATGCAAGGACCAGAGTTTGATCCCCGGTACCAAAAAAAATCCCCATGTCTGGGTCAAATCTCACACTAATTTAGTCAGACTTGGAGGTGGAATGAGAGCCAGGCTTTAGAAAAACATTAGCCCCTAGTGGGGCGTAGTGACGCATGCCTGTAATCCCAGCACTCAGGAGGCTGAGGCAGGAGGATCACCACAGGTTCGAGGCCAGTCTGGGCTACAAAGTGAATTCAGAGTCAGCCTGAACTACAAAGGGAGACTCCGCCTCAAAAAAACAACCTTCCCCAGTGATTTCAATGTGCAACAAGAACATAGGGGTTGGGTGGGGGGCAAGGCAAGACATTTGGCAGTTCATCCTAGCTTTGTGACCTTCAGCATTTCATGTAAGCTTTTGAGGGTTACTCTTTATGTGTAAAAGTGTCCTGTATGGCTCTGAAATTATCCTTTGAGCCTAACATTAGACTGATGTTCCAGGCCCTGCAGAAACTAACTTCTGTCATCTCCACTGTTTTATGCTTTACTCTCCCGCCAGGGCAACCACCTGGGTGAACACGCCTCGTGTGTCTTCCTCCTGTCACATTTGCTGGTTCTGTATGCCTTTCACCATGCATGGCATGCGCTGCTTCCCACTGCCTGAACAAGAGGCCTCTTCAACCTCACAGTCAGCTGAAGATGTCACAGTGTGGCCCAGCCCAGCTGAGTGCCTCGGTCAACAGGAATCTCTCCCATCTTCTAGCTCCAGAAAGAAATTTAGACTTCATATTTGGCAGGATTTTTATATATTTGGTGTGGGACCACAGAGCCAAAACTAAGGTCCTCTTTTCACAGATGATAGTATGGAGGAAAAGAAGCAAAATGTGGCAAAGCTGGGACCAGGACCCAATTTTCCTTCCGTTTTCATAATTATGTGTTGACTTACTTGCTCTTTTTTGATATACACATATACCTGAATATATATGAATGATGTAACACATGGATATATATATATGTGTATGTGTGTATGTATATGAATGACGCTACTTTATAGAATCTAGGGTTAGTGGCCCAAACCCCACCTCCCTAAGGTCCTTATGCAGTTTATAATGAGAGCTCTTAGGAAAGGACCTGGCTCAGATCAGGTGCTCAGCTGTTAGCTGCTGCTATAATTACTTTAGTAAGATTCCTAAGGGATGCAATTGGAGAATCATCCTTCATTAAAAAAAATAAAAAACAAAAAACCACTTAACACCTAGGCATCCTGGTGCATGCGCTGTAGTCCCAGCTCTTTGGGAGTCTGGGGTTTGAGACTGACTAGGGCAACATGGCCAAATCCTGTCTCAGGAACAAAACCAAAAACAAATCACTTACCAAGCTCCCTGCATGCACAAGTGATGCACATGGGAGTTGGAAGATCTTAAAAAATGGATTTGTTTTCTTTTTTCCAGCAAATATTGGGATATGAAATCAAACCGCAATTTTCAGTATTTCAAATATGTTCACTCCATATGTACAGCAGGGTCCTTACTTTTATGAACAGACCAGCTGGTAAGAGAAATAAAATGTTTGTGTACACAAGTATTTTCCTGAAAACAAGCAAAGGTGTTGTAACAGAAAGATAAAACCAAGGCCATTGGGGGTTCATTGTGATTCTCTCAAAAACTCCAGCACTTAAACAGCAAGTAGAAGGTCAGTTAAGTGTTTGGAGAGAACTCTAGCCAACCTAGATGTCAGATGGATGTGTAACCTTTGTAGCCAGGCAGTTTGTTGCAGGATGCACAGTACCTGCCATTCCAGCACTGTGGAGCGCTTCTCCAGGTAGATCAGCAGGACTTGCTTCTCCAGGTAGATGAGTGGGACTCGCTTCTCACCTTCTTCAGGGTCACCTGTCTTCAGAGCACCTCCCTGTCACGTTCTTTATCTTGCTGCAGTTTTCTCTTTAGCACATATCAACACCTGACATACAGCATGTTTATTTGGGGACCATCCACTTTGTTCACAGCGCTATTCATTCACAGGGCCTGGAACCAGTGGTCTTTACAGTGCAGGCCCTTCAGGGATGTTTGTTAATTTCACAAATGAATGAATGCAAATGTTTTATCATGGTCCAACAGCAAGGTGGTTAAGAGCCCAGGTCTTAGGGTCAGCCAGCCTTGTTCTTTTGGGATCCCAGTTGGGCGAGTCAGGCCACCTCTTTGGGCCTCATTTCATAGTGTACAGATGGAGGTGGTAACAGTGCCCCCTCTCTGTGTTCTTGAGTGCATTGAGTGAGTGGTTACAAATGAAGCATTGGGAAGGGTCCCTAGCCATAGTGAGTACCATTCAGTACTTGTTGCTATTACTGGTCCTGTTTATTATCCTCCTCTCCTGTTTGAACCTTTGACTAGAATTAAAAGCTCAGCTTGGACAAGTGAGGAATTTTTTTTTTCCATTCACTTATTCATTCATTGGTTTTTTTGTTTTGTTTTGTTTTTTTGAGAAGATATCCCTATGTAGTACAGGCGGGCCTTAAACACAGCCATGTATCCCAGGCTGGCCTTGAACTCACAGTGAACCTCCTGCCTCAGCCTCCTAAGTGCTGGGATTACAGGCATACACCACCATACTTGGCCATAGGATTTTTTTTGTTTTGTTTTTTTGAGGCAGTGTCTACCTTTGTAGTTCAGGCTGCCCTTGAACTCACTGTGTAGCCCAGGCTTGCCTCAAACTTTCGGGCTGGCCTCAAACTCTCGAGCTGACCTCCCAAGTGCTGGCCTGCACTCAGCTCAGGAATTTCTTTTTAAAGAACCTTAAACATTTTTCTCTTGTATGATTTTGATGCAGGTTCTCCACATATGATTCCACCTGTCAAATTGCCCAAGAAATTGCTGAGAAAATTCAACAACGAAATCAGTATGAAAGAAGAGGTGAAAAGACACCCAAGGTAATACCAGGAGAAAATTAGTACTTAAAAGATATTTTCTTTTCTTTTTCTTCTTTGAAACAGAGTTTTGCTATGTAGTTCAGCTGGCCTTGAACTCTGCATGATCTTCCTGCTTCAGCCTCCCAAGTGCTGGTATTACAGGCATGCACTGCCACGGCCAGCTTAGCACTTAAATGATTCTGAACTTGGAGATCTGAAAACCTTCCCATACCTAAGGCTGTGTGTGTGTTTGAGTGTGTGCATGTGTATGTAAATCTGAACATTTTTAATTTATTGCGATATGTTTGTAGATGTCTAATTTTATTTTTCCGCATTTGCTAGGTTAAAAATCCCTACCCCAAGATACAAAATATTTCATATTTCACTCACTGAAGTTTTTAATAACTACAGTGTTCCTAGGCCTTTTGTACTGTTGCACTGTTGACACAGTTGGCAACTGCCAGCATCACATTCTTGTATTTTTTAAATAATAGCATCATATCTGATTATTTAGGGCTCTTAGTATTCATATCATTTTTTTCTTCATATATCCTGCTTTTAGAGCGATTTTGTGAAGCACTATTAAAGAAAATTTTGTGCTGGGCCTTAATTTTTAGCGCCTCTCTAATAAAAAATTCTAAATGGGATTTTGAACAGATATGTAGTATGTTTATGGATTAAAAAGGAGAAAACTAGGGTCAGGGATGTAGCTCAGTGGTGTTGCACCTGCCTTGCAAGTGCAAGGTCCTGAGTTCGATCCCTGGTATCAAAAAAAAAAAAGAAGAAGAAAACAGCATTTAAAAAATATTGAATATTTCCTTTCATTCTCATTTTATTCATTCCTTCAGCAATATTTACTGTAGTTATTATGTGACAGACACTAGGATACATATTTTTAAGATTTTGTTAGTATTGGTCATGAAATTTGAAAATAATAATTTAAAAAATTCTCGCTAGTTATTACCTAAAGTTTAGGAATATCTTTGGGATTTTTTTTTCATTTTATGATCGATCACTGTACTGAATTCTTTTGTTCTTTCAGGTAATATTTCAGTTGATTCATTAGCTGTTCCAAGTAGCCTGTTAATCTGCAAATGAGACTTTTTCATCTTGTTTTCAGTCTTTATTTCTTTAATTTCTTGTTGCATTGGCTAGAACTTCTAAACCAGAGTTAAATGATAATGCATTCTTGGCAGTTGTGTTCTATTCTTAGTTATCTTTCTTTCTTTGTGTTTTGTTTTTAATTTCCCCCATACTGTATTAATCATATGTTTATTCTGTTTTTAATCATTAACACCACAAGCTTTTATTTTTAGGTTTCCTAGCATCAGATTGTTCTTAAATTACTGTTCTTAAATTAGAATAAATTCTCTTTGGCATGTTGTCTTTTTTAATACAATTTTGAGTTTGCTTTACTAACATTTTAAACCTTTTTTACATTTATAACCCATAAGTGAGATTGATAGGTGATTTCTGGCCTAGAACTCACTGTGTAGCCAAGGCTGGCCTTGAACTTTCAGTGACCCTTTGCCTCTGCCTCCCAAGTGCTGGGATAACAGGTGTGTGCCACCAGGCCTGGCTCCTTTTTTTGTCTTAATGATCAGGTTACTTTAAAATACTAATTAGTCATTAGGCTTTCCATCTTTTTCTATGCTCTGGAAGCTTCTGTTTAATTATGATAGTAGAACCTTTTTTCTTTCTCATCAAAATAATCATTTTCTTGTAAAATATTAAGAAATCCCTGCTTAAAGATAACTACCCTCAGCATTTTAAGATAATTTCCTAGGCATTTTGTTGTATTTAGTTTTTGTATTATTTTTTTCCTCTACTTGGATGACTTTTTTTCCCCTCTTTGGTTTTGTTTTGTTTTGTTTCTTTGAGACAGGGTATCTCCTTGTGGTTCACTCTGGCTTTGAACTCACTATGTAGCCCAGGTTGGCCTTGAACACCTGGCAATCCTCCTGTCTCACCCCCCACAAATGGTAGGATTACAGGCGTGTACCACCGTGCCCTGCTTGGGTGACATATTACAGTTGAAATTTTCTTGTAAGAAATTACGGTAGCTATCTTCCAAGCTAACAGATTGAAACTTGAATCATACTTTTTAATGACTATCTATTCTTTCATCTCTTGAATACTTTTGGAGTCTTTAATTTTATAGTCTTTATAGGCCTGGTGTGCGTGCGTGCGTGTGTGTGTGTGTGTGTGTGTGTGTGTGTGTGATGCTTTTTGGTCTTTATTTATTTATTTGCTTTTGAGACCGTCTCACTGCATTGTCCCAGCTGTCCTTAGCCTCCCAGTTAGAGGACTCCAGGTGCCCACCACTGAAATCAGGTTGGACTTTTTTGTTTTGCTCTTTATTTTCTCAGTAAGAACATCCCTATAATGAATGTTAGGGGCTCTTCCTTGGTTTCCAGAGGCATCAGAATAAAGTTAAATGACTTTATTCCTTGGCTCTTGATACCTTGGAGCATTGCTTGATGTATGTAGACCATGGCCAGCCTCTCAGATGTGACCCAGTAATCTAAGGAGGAGGCAGCCTTCTACCCAAGTTGTATCATTGCTGCTTTTTACAAGGCAGCAAATGAAACCTGTGGTATTCTCCCTCTGTAACATGTTCATCCATGGTCTAATATGTTTTCATTTAAGTGGGCAGTTTTATTTTTCACATTTCCAAATTCCAGAAAGGCACTCCCCCATGCTCCTCCGTTCTTTAATGTCTCAGTTTAGAGTCACAGACAAAAGATTCCTCTGGTCTTTTAGAATGATTGGAGAAAACTCATACAGTCCTGGAAAGAGAGTCATGTGTGATTCACATTCCTCTTGTATAAAAAGAACACATTGCTATGAACTGTTCAAATGGGTTATAAATACACCGGTTCAGAGTCTGGTTCAGATGGTAATGGGGTTTGACACCATGTTTTTTGAAGGATGGTTGTGGGAACTGTGGCATTTTGCTGTTGAGTGGAGACTTGGGAACAGTTTCCTGCATGGTTCCAGGGTAGATAAACAAGATCGGTGGGTAGAAGCTTCAGGAAAAGAATTCAGCTGAGCACGAGGATACTTTGGCAGTTTCCCGTCAGTGTTCACGGTCAGACAGAGTCTGGGTTGCCCTTGGGCAGGCTTTCTAGAGGGTCCAAGGCTGGGCCCGGTCACTGTTTTATTGCTTTTTTTTTTTTTCCCACAAAGGGAAATATGTTTACTAAGGGTTTGAAGAATACTGACACTGTAGAATACAAAGATTAATTTTTTGGTCTTGAAGTTTTCAATTCCAAGGAGACTAATACATACAATTATCATCTTATTTAAGTGTACTTTGTCTATATACATCTGCTTTGTCCTATCGAATTCCAATATAACTGAAGTAGATTTAGAGCCCAAGTCTTCTGACTCAGCCATTACCAGAAGTTACCACGAGTTCACTTATTATCGGCATTTAATTTATTGAGCAGTATGTTAAACCAAGCATTGTCCGAGACATTTTGTATAAATTACTCATCCCTCAGTAGACCTCTAGGGTACAAACTCTTATCCTGGCTTTACACAGGAGGCAGTGGCCCTCAGCAGGGTACAGCAACTTGCCCAGGGTCTCATTGCCAGGAAGATGCAGAGCTGGGATTAAATCTCACATAATCAATCTAGCTGGATTAATCTCCATGCAGAATTCAGAAAACATGTTTAAGATGAAAGTTTCTGGGATGCGCTGCTTGGAAATGACACTTAGGAAGTCTCAGATGCACAGACAGTAGGAAAATGCTGAACCTGGAACATCAACAAGTAAAAAGATCTCAAGCATCAGAAGGCCACCGTGGGAAGGCAACTGGCTCTACTTCTTGGTGCAGGAAGGCTGAGCATCTCTTCCAGCCCTTCCTTGATTGAATCCTGGTTTGGGAAACCATGTTTACTTGATTTGATTGAGTAGATTCTGCATCACTGGACTGCAATACTTAGGATATGTTCTTTTCTTTTCAGCTTACTGTGGCAATCAGAGCTTTGTTACAGAACCTGAAGGAGAAGATCGCCCTTTTGAAGGACTTATTGCTAAGAGCGGTGTCAACACATCAGATGTATCCATGCAAACAATTCCACCTCTTTGCTAGAGTGGGAGGACAAGCAATCTTATTTTAAGAAAGGAAGAATCTGGGCCACCCAGATTTTTCTACAGTTTGAGGAGGACCTGGTTTCCACACCGTTCCTATGATCCTGAGTTCTATTTTAAGTGTCAGTTACATGTCTTACAGTGAATATGCTGGCAAGGAAAGACCTGCCTGAGGAATTAACTGGCTTGGGTACAACCTTTAGAGGGCAGGAAGCTGATGCTGTCAGTGTCACATGTACAGAGCCCCACGTTGCTCTGTCTGCTGCCTTGAGAATGGCCCGGCCCTGCTCCAGCAGCAGACTGTGCTCCTGATGCTACTTTCTGACTGCCCAGAGTTTGTAACGATCCATTTCGTTTTGGAGAGGCCAGTACCAGTAGAAAGCATACATCTTTTGCTGTTGTTTTTACCACTTGTGTAGGTCATTGAGATATGAATTGTTTGCCTTATTATTCTTTCAGGGGCGCAGATATTGGCTCTAGTTTGGAAACTTTGGGGTGGAGGGTGGAGTGGGACTTGTTGGAAGTAAGTTGGGCCATCATCTTAGCCTCCCCCCAAACATTAAAATTTTTCTTGGAAATTCATGATCTGATCAATGTAGGAAAATATGTGTGGACTGTTACCTAAACTAACCCTTTAAACCTGAGTTGATATTAATTTGAAAACTGATCTCAAATAGCTTTCTCTCATTTTACTCCAAATTGTCCGTAGTTCATGCCAAAGATCCAGCTTTTTTCTTTTCTTTTTTTGACACAGGATCTCACTATGTAGTTCAGGCTGGCCTTGAACTCACTGTGTACCCCAGGCTGGCCTCCAATTTGAGGTGATCCTCCTGCCTCAGCCTCCTGAGTGCTAGGATTATAGGTGTATGCCACCACACCAGGCCAAAGACCCAGCTTTTGATATTAGAGGAAGTAACATCCTGGTTTGAACCATGGGAAAATTATATAGAATATATAGAAATTATATAGAATATAGCTTTTTAGATAAAATAAAAGTGTTTAAAGAAAACATTTTTGTGCACATGTAACCCTTTTATGTTTCCAAGATTAGTTTAGATTAGTTGCATGGCTTTCCATATATCCAGTTGTTAATCCACTAAGGTTTCAAGTAAAATTTTAATTTCAGTAAATAGTTGGGGCCTTCTTTGTAACACAATTGGAGTATTATGAAACACTTTGTAACTTTATTTTCCATCTGGTATCATTTGTTACTGCCCAGTTAGTCTATTATAAAAGTCTCTGATTTTATTTTACCAACATAAAGAAGTCTGAATTTGTAAACCTCAGGTTGTTGCTGATGGGCAGGGCTCTTTCCTCTGCCTTCATTACTAGGTGCTGGGAAGTCTGCACATGGAGTCAAGGTGTCAAATTCATTTTAGTGTCACCTAACACATATGGTAGAAAGGCAAGTAAATACCTTTTAATTGTTTCACGGTAGAGTATTGGTACCTGTGTATTTGCTAGCTTCCATTAAGGTAATTACGTATTACTCATTTATATGCTAAACCTATAGAGCAAGGGAAGTCTATACATTAAAAATTTACTTAGCTAGATACAGTGGATCATAGCGCCAATTCCAGGCTGAGGCAGGAGAATCACAGGTTTAAGCCCAAACTGAGCAATGTAGCAAAAACCTGCCTCAAATTTTAAAAAATAAATACATGCTGGGAATATAGCTCAGTGTGAAGGCTCCAGGTTCATTTCCCAGTACTACAAAACAAAAACAGAAGAATAACAAAAGTCTTACTTTATCCTTTCCTAATAATTTCTGCTAGTTATTAATTAGAGAACACTAAGTATACCATAGGAATAACTGACTTTGTTCTCCTAATGCTTAAAATCTGACCATCTGTAATCTCTTGGGGTTTTGGTGTGGTTTTGTGGCGGTCTCAGAATTACCTCCCAAATTGCTGAATTAAGCACTAAGCATTAAAAGCACTGAACAGAGATATTTAAAACATTACAAAAATATTTAGTGACCTTAATGTGGATAGTTCAGAAATTCCTAGGAGAAATTTAAAAAACTCAACTGGAATAAAAGGGTTTTCTTTACAATTCTTTTTTTCCCCCCAAATAATTGAATGTACAGTATCTGTACTGTGACTACAGCCACTACTGCAAGGCATGGCATGCAGACAATCCACCCCCTGGGGGTGCTCCTAAATCTCTGTGTTTTCAAGAAGGCTATTTTTCTTTAGATAGAATGGAAAGAAGGAGGTAGATTCTTTTCTTTTTCTTTCTTTTTTTTTTTTTTTGAGACAGGGTCTTGCTATATAGCGCAGGCTGGCCTTGAACTCCCAACTCCCTATGTATTCCAGGCTGGCCTTAAACTTGACACAATCGTCCTGCCTCAGCCTCCTCAGTGCTGGGATTACAGGCCTGCACCACCAAGTCCGTCTAGGTAGCTTCTGTACTGTGACCCTTCTCCCCCTTTTTGGTGCTGGGGATTGAACCCTGAACATGATAGGCATACAGTCTACTACTGAGCTACACTCCCAGCTCCAGACAGCCTCTTTATAATCCTTCTGCTCGTTCCCATCTCCCTTTGACTTCCTTCCTCTTCCCTAGCATTTTAAATAATTTTGTAAGTTACTCTCCAGACTTAGGGTATATTAGACAGCATCTTGTCAGTCCTGATAGCCTCATGTTACTGGTTAGTTTTGGTGATCCTTGCTCTTTACAAAGAGATACTGAGGGCAGGTCAGACTTTGCCCCTCAGGAACCTGATGCAGTTAGAAAGAGAATCCAGCATTCCAGCGGGATTTTACACCAAGGAGAGAACTAGGAGTTGTAGTGTTTTGCCCAGGACCCCACAGCTGGGAAATAGAAGAGCCAAATTCAAACACAGTCTGGCCCCAAGTCAGTTGTTTACTGCTAACTTTTATTTTAGTAGAAATAATAAGTTATCACCTGGCGTGTCTTCCACTGCAACTTCCTAGTAATTGGTACACTGCTGTAGTGCCAAGACAAATCTTGTTTATAAGGCAAATCCTGGAGAATGTACTTAATCATCAGGAAGATTAAACACTGCTCCATGTGGCTTATTAGCTACACTACTGTATGACGTTGTAATTCACCAAATAGAGTGACTTTTTAATCCTGTTTTTGAGGCATAATTAATGTTGGGTGACTTTTTCGGTGTCAATATTTGAAGACTACATTTCCTCACTGTGCTGGGTAGTTAAGAGTTTATGGTACTCACTAAATTTATGCTTTTCTGCATTTGTGGAGTTTTCCAAAGGATACTAGGAGTTGCCAAAATGATAAGTCCTATGACAGTGTTTTCTAAACAGTTAAATTCATGGAGTTTAGGTCTAAGCTGTTATTCTCTTAACTGAAAAAGTACTTTACTCCTGGCAAGAGTGAATATGAAATTAAAATGAAATTTCTGTGCTTTTAAATCCATTAGTTTGCAATTAATAAACCAAAGTCTTGCAGCCAGAAAGTTTAGAATTGCCAGAAAACATTGACTTCTATTCACAGTGCTTTGCAGAGAGATGAATTATAATCATCTCCCTAGTTGAAAGAATGTGCTATAGGAGGCTGCATGTGAAATTTCAGGTAGTACTAAAAATATTCTTATCGCTAGCTTTATCATCCGAAGCTTGTACTTTTGTTAGTTTTTCAGTGGCAGCACCTTTACCTCTTTAAAGAGAGTAAGAATAATCTCTTTAACAAAAGGATTTAAGTATCAAAAGGTATTTTTGGTGCCTTAGGAGAAGGCCTGTGAAAATATTTTTTTTTTAAATCTGTTAACTTTTATGAACTCTTTATTTTGGGGGAAATGGATAGGTAGATAGATGTGACAATCGCTATATAATAAACCCACATGAAGGCAGGTGTGGAGAGGCTGAGTAGATTCTAAAAGTATCCCCTGATGGCTGATGGCTGCAGTACCGTACAGTGGTTCTCAAACACCACCTGTTTGTGACAGTTTTTAAATAAATATAAGTATATATGTTGTTAAATCGCTGTTTCTAGTTTTTTTATGTTAAAATCTTTTTGATTTTTCACCATGATAGTAAAAGTAGATAGTTTTGTTTGTTTTTTGAATGTCCAGTCCATACCTGGCAAAATGTGTAATTGGTAATTCTCAGCTAAGTATTTTTTCTGTCCCCGATTTGTTTGGAAGCATTGGTCCATGAAATCTGGAAGTTGGGCCTCAGAATAGTGGGAGCAGCATCAGCTCTGGAAGCAGGCACAGCTGCGACGGAAGACTGTGCTGTCACTTAATTGAGGCCAAACAGCAGTTCAGTCTTTCTGGGTCTTCGTTTCATTATTTATAAAGTAGGAATAATCCTACTTTTGCAAATTTGTTGAAAATTGAAGAAAATATTTATAAAGCACTTTGCAGGACTATCCCCCCCGCCCCCCCGCAGTGGTTCGTGTTGACCTCCTTGTGCCTTATTTTTCTCATGTGAGATAGAGGTTACAAAAGTCCACCCGGCTTGTATTACTGTTGTGAGGATTAGACTATATGCAAAAAGTTGCATCACATATAGTAAGTCCAACTTGGGGATTGACTGCTACTACTATTTTATCATTCTTATAAAAGTTACTGCTACCAATGAGAATTTATAGGCAAAATGGTTGTATTAAAGCACACACAGGTATTAAAGTAGTACTTTCAAATGTGATGAGTGCTTTGCCAGGCATGGTGGTACATGCCTGCAATCCAAGCTATTTAGGAGGCTGAGGCAGGAAAATCACAAGTTTGAGGCAAGCCTGGGCAATTTAGTGAGACCATGACTCAAAATAAAATTAAAAAGAGTTGGGTTGTAGCTCACTGGTAAGAGTGTTTCCTTGCCAGGTGTGGTGGTGCTTGCTGGGGTGGGGTATTTTAGATTTTCAGATTAGGGATGTTCAATCTGTATCAATACAGTATTATTTTTAGATGGCAAGAGAGTCGGGTGTGGTGGCACATGCCTGTGATCTCAGCACTCAGGAGGCTGAGGCAGGAGAATGGCCTTAAGTTCAAGGCCAGCCTGGGCTACATAGTGAGTTCAAGATCAGCCTGAATTAGAGAGTGAGACCCTGTCTCTAAAATAAAGAAGTGCAAGTGATATGAGCAGTGCTGGCAGCCCCAGGGTGGACAAGCCCCAGATGTTGGTGGGCAAGCCCAGGTGATGGGGTGTGGTAGGTGAGCTAGGCTCTAGCCCAGTTAACCAGTAGAGCGACTTAGTTATGCTGCTTCTTAAATTCCTGTCAGAAAAATGACAGTTGGCTTAAGGCACTGATGATGAACCTTTTAGAGTTTTCAATGAAACAAATAAATCCTCTGTGGCACTTGTGCCATAGTTTTGCCACCTGGGGCTTAGGGGATCTCTAAGGCTTCTTTAAGCACCAAATGTCTATGATTCTGTTCTTCATTTACTAATCTACAAAATATTATCACCAGTTTTTACTGCCTTTGAAACTGATTTTTATTTGACTCATTCTTAACATTAGTTTAAAACCGTAACTAGTATCTGCTAAATTTTAAAACTTAACCTTTGTTGTTTTTATTATAAAAACTACTCTCTACCTGTACACGTGTCATTGTTAGTTTTCATTAAAGGCCTCTCTCTCTTCCTCAGCCTCGTCCTGTCCCATCTCATTCTTCATAGTTCAGTGTTGGTAGTTGGTACTTCTCATCCCAGGCTTTCTTAGACATGAAACATGTTGTATACATAAATATATATATATATGAAGATAGACACTTCTTTTGGTAATAAAGGGATTGTACTATATATATGGTTCTGGAACTTGTTTTTATTAATTACTATATGTACTGTTGGTCCAACAATACAAAACAGTATTCAGTCTCCCTGGAATCCTGAATGTCTTGTTTCCCTTCTATAGAGGCCATTGTTTGTGTATATACTTTCAGACTATGTGTCTATTCTTTTTTAGCATAGTGCAAACATACTATTCACTATTTAGTTCCTTGTTGCTATTGCTGTCTCCCCTCCCTTACCCCCTTTTGGGGTTAAAACTATTTGAGAGCTTATTCCATATCAGGTAATTCATATGAACACTTGTAAGTGCCCAGAAATGTTGATTCCCATTATCATCAGTACAGGAACAGCTTTCTTGTTCATTTTTTTAGGCTTCAAAATATTCCATTGCATAATGCCTTATTGATGGACATTTAGTATGTTTCCAGTATTTGGCTATTGTAAATAATGCTGCACTGAAAATCTTTGCTCAGAAGTTCCCATGTGAATGTATGAATGTGCCTTTTAAATCGTTAGGTATACAGAAGGCAGTCTGGTAGTTGATACAACCTGTTTACATTCCTACCAGGAATGTAGGAGGGTGCCTTGTTCCTCAGCTCCTTTCCAAAACTATCTTGTCACAGTTTCCTACTCTGATAGGTGAAAGGGTACCTTGTTTTAGTTTGCATTTCTTTTATTGATGTGAAACCCAATGGCCTTTCATTTGATTAGAGATATTAGTGCTAATTTTTTCTGTGTTCTGTTATGTCCTTTGCCTTTTTATTTGTCACTTAAATTGTTTTACTTTGTACCTTTTTTGATTTTTTTTTTTTTTGAGATAGGGTCTCTGTGTAGTTCAGGCTGGACTTGAACTCACTGTGTAGCCCAGAGCAGCCTCAAACTTGTGGTGATCCTCCTGTCTCAGCCTCCTGAGTGCTGGAATTACAGGTATACGTCAGCACACCCAGCTCCATCTCTAGATTTTAAAATTTTGTCTGAAAAGATTTTTCCTACTCCAAGATTATTAAAAAATTACCAGCAGGGCATGGTGGTGCACACATAAAATCCCAGCACTCTGGAGGCTAAGACAGGAGGATTGCCGTGAGTTCAAGGCCAGCCTGGACCACATAGTGAGTTCAAGGCCAGCCTGAACTACATAGTGAGACCCTGTCTTAAGAAACAATATTCTTCTAATAATATTTCTAAAATTTTATTTTTAAATGTTTATAAATGTGCTTAGCTGTAATATTGGATTTCAGTTCAGCATTTGTTTGCTTGGATGGTTGGATACTGAAATCCTAACAAAATCAGAAGTTGCCAGGTGAGTTGAATGTGGCACACAAGACAAGTCTAACTAATTTTGGGATATAATTAACAGTTTCCACGATTTAAATTAGTTTCCATTTTGCCCCATATGATTTTTGCTTTTTTGATTTTTTTGAGACAGGGTCTCTCTGTAGTTCAGGCTGGCCTTGAACTCATTATGTAGCCCAGACTGGCCTCAAACATGCTGTGATCCTCCTGCCTCTGCCTCCTGAATGCTGAGATTACAGGCGTGTGCCACCTACCCAGCTGTCCTATATAATTCTTGTCTCAGTTGCTTGTTTTATTTTAATTTGGGGGGAGCTTATATATAGCCTTACACTTTACAGATAATTTACCATTAACTTAAAAATTAGTATTTTTTTTTTTTTTTTTGGTAACAGGGATCGAACTCAGGACCTTGCGCTTTCGAGGCAGGCGCCGGAACCACTGAGCTAAATCCCTGGTCCAAAAATTGTTATTCTTAATAGTGCATTGATCAAAAAATTAATATTTGGCCCCTTTTGTTAACTGAGTATTTAAAGTCACAGTATCTTGCAATTGTTCCTTCATGGTTTCCAGGATAGGGTACTTAGTAACTGTTGTCAAGCAGGAAATGGAAAAAATAATGGTAGTAATTTGACCCAGGAAAGTGTGGCATTCTGGAATGGGGAGAGAATTTATTAATAGTAGTTGTTAACTATTAATTTGCTATTGATAAAATATTATTTTAATATTTAAAGCTACTAACACTGCTTAGCTACATTGGTGTGGGAGATTTATGATTTTCTAAGGGCCGTATGTTACTCGAGAAATTTTTTTTGGCCTGGGACTGTTTACTATTTTACTGTAGATTTTTTTTTTGGGGGGTACTGGGGATCGAACTTGGGACCTTGTGCTTGCAAGACAGGTGGCGGAACCACTGAGGTAAATCCCCGCCCCCGTTTACTATTTTACTAGCAAGCCAGCTCTTTTTCTGTCCAAACTTAGCAACAAAAATTGTCCATTCCCTAGGCTATGGTGTTCCTACCGAGGCAATGATGATGTTACTATTTGGTTCTGCCAATTTCTCAAAAGTTTTTAGGCCTGAGTGCAATGTTTTAAGTTCCTCCTTTAAGGAGAAAACTAAACCCAAAGCAGTGCTCTTACAATGTCTTACTAGGATTTGGTATTTGTGGCCAGGGCTTCTTTGAATCACCAGCCTTTCACATCTAATAAAACAGAGATACAAAGGGAAAAACAAAAAACTTTTGAGTTGAGGTAGCTTATTTTGGGGCTTTTTCTATGCAGTGTCAGATATATCCTTTCAAAAATGTTTCTTAGCTTTTTTCCTCTCTTTCTCTGTAGAGCACATGCTTAGCATGCACAAGGCCTGGGTTCAGTCCCCAGGACCAAAAAACCACTACAACAAAAAAAAGTCCCTTCAGGTTAGGTTCTGATTGATTGATTGATTTTTTTTGGTACCAGGGATCAAACTCGGGACCTTGCGCTTGCAGGGCAGGTGCTGGAACCACTGAGCTAAATCCCTGGCCCCGATTTATTTTTTTAACCATCACTTGTGAATTGTGCTGGAAAAGATGTGACAGATGATCTGTGTTATATATAAAGAAACAGAGAACCCAAAAGGTGAAGTAGCTGGTTCATTGTCATGAACAGTGGACAACATAGGACTAAAACTCTGCCCTTCGGGCTCCTAGTTTAGCACGCTTACTAGACTAACGCATTAAAATATTATCATTTCTTTGTAATTTTCCTTAAAGATCATGTAATATATTTTAAATAATGACTGATAGTAACAATTTTTACAGTACATTGGTGCATGAAGTACCACTTTACAAGACAGTCCAGTTCTGTTAACAGGTGTTAACATGGAAGAAAGCAGACAGTATAGAGTATGTCCTCCTCTACTTTTTAAAACAGGGTAGCTTTGGGATTTTTTGTTTGTTTGTTTTTGTTTTATCAGTGCTGGGAATCAAAATCAGGGTTTTACACAAGCTAGGCAAGTGCTGTACCACTGAGCCACATCCCCAGCCCCGCCCTAGGATATTATGTGTAGGAATACACCTTTGAACACTGACACCTGTAACTCAAAACCTAAGGAATTGCTGACCCAGTTTGCTCTATTGACTGGGTGGAAAATATTATTTACTTAGTATGCTTTTTAGTAAAAGAATTTATGTAATGATCTTTGTCAGTGTTTTATGTCCCTTACCATCAAGATCATTTACCTAAGCTGAAGATCAGAGCAGGAAAAGGTGAAGAATGGTTCAGATAGATGTCTTTTGGAGAGTAGAGATAAGAGTGACTCCAAGAACTAATTAATTTAGAAATATAATGGGTGAGATGAGGTAATCCATCCACCACTGGACCTTAACAATGTCTACAGAACACAGCTGGAAGGAGATCGAAGACAGAACCTACTGGATGATCTCGTAACCCGAGAGAGACTACTTCTGGCATCCTTCAAGAGTGAGGGTGCAGAGCCAGATCTAATCAGGTAAGAGTTTTCATTTACAGGAATAGCTTGGCGGCAGATGAGGATTTACTGAAGTTTTTACAGCTGTATCCTCAGTGGTTTAAGTTCTTTATAAACAAGTATCTTCTGTTCATTTATAGTGTTTGGCTGTAATTTTCTATTCATTTAGTTTTCATTTTCATTTTTTTTTTTTTTTTTTGCGGTACTGGGATCGAACTCAGGACCTTGGGCTTGTGAGGCAGGCAGCAGACCCACTGAGCTAAATCCCCAGGCCCTCATTTTCTAGATTTAGTAAACCTGGTGTGTTCAGCTGACTCCTATCTTGCGCAGAGCATAGTATACTGAGGTAAAATACGAAGTTTAGAGACTTTTGTAGTATTTGGTTGAATTTTCTGCATTGGTAGCTGCCTTACATGGTCCTGAAGTCACTCTCTATCTGTGTAGAAAAGTAAGTTTTGTTTGTTAATTGACATGTTGAAAACTGTTGTCTTGGCTAGACTGCGATTCGGGGCTTATGGAGGAGGGTGTGTATGGCAGTTGGAGTACTCTCCCAATTACTCTCTGGGAGTAATTGACACTTTACGAAGCTGACAGCTGCTCAGCACTAGACCCTGTTGGAAGACCCAGAGAAGGTGTCCAGCTTTCCAAGGCCTGCGGTTAATGAGCTATACATGTTACCTCTTTAGTTTGGCCTCCTGCCTGCTTCTAGAACTCTCTTCACTTCCTTCACAGAAAGAACTGAGCTCAGGAGGGAAACCCAATTCTGCCCCTCTTTCCCACTAGGGATGTTGCATTCATGGTGGAGAGGCAGCTCGTTTCTGCTTAGTTCACAGCTAGGAATATTTGTAATATGCCCCAAGGGCAGAGGGTTTTGACCCCAGCCATGCACTATCAGACTCTGTCTCAGACAATTCAGTATGATTGGGAGTAGGGTGCGGGGCGGGGGCAGGGCAGGGTCCCAGGTGATTCTCATAAGCAGCCAGGATCGCAACCCACTGTTTTAGACCAAGCCGTGGAGGATGCAGCAATTTCTTTCCAGGTCTTGTCAGAAGTGGGCAGTCCAGAGTTCTTAGGAAAAAAAATTATAAAATACAAGAAGCTAGATGAAGCCCGGAGTCAGTGAGGGAGGAGTCGCGATCCTCTCTCAGCAGTGACCTGGGCAGGGTTTTAAATGCAGGCTGGAGCCCGCGGTGCTTCCATTTATTGTCATCCCCGCCCCGCCCCCCGCCCCCCATGGCTCTCTGGCAGTATTCAGTCTTGTGAAGCGAGTGGATGCAGACGATGGTCTGAGTTGGTGAAATAGAACAGGTAACCAAAGGAATGCAAGAGGGAAAGAAATTACTATCTTCCAAGAAGGACCTAAACATCGAAAGAAGAGGTCTTTTTAGTCAAATTAATACCGGTGGGTTGGGGGGAGCATGTTTCATGGGAGGGTGGGGTGGTCAAGGAGATGGAAGATGTTCAGCACCAAAAGAAAGAGGCTATTAGATGCCAGATTCCATTTATTTATTTATTTGTGTGTGTGTGTGTGTGTGTGTGTGTGTGTGTTTGCACTACTGGGGATTCAACCTGGGGCTTTCCCACTGAGTTAAATCCCCAGTCCTTTTAACAATTTTTTATTTTGAGGCAGGTTCTTGGTAAATTGCCCAGGCTTAGCCTTAGCTTCCCAGAGTATTGGGATTAAAGAAATGAGCCACTGGGCCTGCCTTACACTCCATTTATTACTCTTCATTAACTGTGTCATTTAATGATATTTAATGGGGCCAACCTAAGAATTAGGCCCTTAAGAGTTTTGCTGTTTTCCAGTCCCCTTTAGCCTGTCTTTTCTCCCATCCCTCTCTGCCTCATTGATAATCTCTGTATCCTTGCTATTCCACATCAGCCTACAGATGAGCAGCATCAGCATCATCTGGAGCCTGTTAGACATTCAGAATTTCAGCTCCCAACCCAGAACTCCTGAATCAGAACCTGCACTTTAACAAGATCATCAGGTGATTGGAAAACATGTTACAATTTGAGAAATACTGCTTTGTATTAATCTGTTTATAATTGTGGCATTTGCATCAGAATACCTAAGAGATTTACAGAAAAGGATAAGAAAGAAAGAAACAAAAAAATACAAGTGTCTGATCCATGTACTTGGAGAGTCTGATTAGTACTCTGGGGTGAGGGCTGGATGGCAGTAGGCCGGGGGAGGCTCCCCAGGTGGTTCCAGTAGGTGGCAGGGTTAGGACTACTTTGTCACTGTGCAGTGGTAATGATACCAGTAGCTTACACCTACTATTTGTTTTGTGTTCTAGACACTGCGCTGAGCCTTTCATGTGCATTTTTTCAGGCCCTATGTACAGCATCCCATTTTGCAGAGGAGAAACTGAGGCTGGGGGGAGTGCTGATTCTAAAACTAATCAGTCTCACAGTTGGATTTCAGATCCCAGCTCCTAACCTTGGCACTATACAAACTGAACCACAATACAGAAGGACTGGGCTTTGTAACTTACCAGTCCCTCAGTCATCTGAGCACAACAATCATTGACCTTAAGTCAAGCATGTGTTCTGCCCTGTTCTCATTGTTGTTAGGACCAGGTGAGGTAACTGCTATTTGAAGGCTCTGAATTTTAAAACCTTTTCAAATACAAGATGTTGTCACTACAGGGTTGTGTCCCCTTGAGGCTAGGAGGGAGCTCATGCCTCTATCTCGTCTCTGAGACCATCTGTCCCACTTGTCATATTCCCTGAGTGCCCTGAAGACCTGGCCTCCTTGACCAGTCTTGTTCCATGGTGCTGATCCTTGTGCTGCACCTCATTCTGTCATCCCCTCCCCTACTCCCAGATCTCATTTGTTTCCTGTCCTCTTTCCTCACTGCCTAACTTGCTGCCTGTCATCTTATTGGTACATAATCTCTTGATAATTTTATCTGTGGAACCAATGTCTAGCAGTGACTTGTATTCTGGAAATATTTTGACCAAAGCCTCCTTGAACCCTAGGATTTGAGCTAAATAAATTAATTGATAGGAGAATTTTAGGGAAATTGACAGGTTAGCAGCAGAAGTGAATGTTGTCTGTTTGGTTTGGGTGGAAGGAAGTTTTCTGAGGATATCTTAAGTCCCACTACGAGGACTGCCTCATACTCTTTCTGTAAGGCTGATTCACCTGGTGTTACCTGTTGGTTTATTGGTGAAAGATTGGGGTTGTTTGGGGACAGAGAGACCAGACTGAGTAGAAACTATGAAGCAAAGATAGCCACAGTTTTGAGGTTTGCAATAACTAAAGTAACTGGCCAGACTTATTTACATGTAGTCAAGATGAAACTGAAGGCAACATGTATATGGTTGTACCGTTTTTGTTCAGAAACAGAGGGTTAGAATAGTTCAGAGTAAGATTCCAGAAGAATTCTGTTTCAGAAAAGTGTGTAAGCACTATGGAGGAGAAAAGACTCCCAAGGCGTGATGTGAAGAAGGTACAAATGGGCACGACAGACAGTGACGGTCCACTCCAGGTGACACGGAGTCTGGCCAAAAGTAAGAGACCACTGTGGCAAATAAATATCAATCACCGTGAAGAGATAAAAATCATTGCAGGTGAAAAAAAAAAAAAAGAATGCTAGCTGACATGGGAGGTGAATTCTTTGTTCACTTTGTTAGTGACTCCTTATTAGGTTCTGATTGCCTTAGACCCATTCTACCCACCCTATCAGTAACATGTCCAAAAAGTGCAAATCTCATAGAAGTCCTTGGGGAATCTAGACAGTAAGAAAACCTATACTACTAGATTCAGCCATTCTGGAATACTGGGAGCTCTGCTGAAGGGTTATGAGAATGGGCAAAACACATACTCCAGCTAGCCAGGGAGGATAGCACCATCGGGGACTTACAAATGGTGAGTGTATTGAAGAGTTGAGTGGAAGAATGTTAAAGCCAAATGTCTTACCTCTGAGGTCAGAGTTGCTGGTCTTTGACTTGGTTCACCTGCCTATGTCAGTCACGTTTGCTATCTTTCCCTCTAATCCCCACCGTTGAGGACTCCTCTTCCATCCCCATCTTCTCATCCCTAATAATTCAGAGGATCTGAATTCAGTTGCAGACACGACCAGTTTGGGATCATAGTTTGATCATATCCTTTACCTCTTAATTGTTGGGTTTCTTAGTCATTTCTAATACCAACTCTTAGGACCTTTCCATTATGTCTTTGGAGAAACTTCATTTTTTCTCTGCCGGTTGGTTTTCCTGATATCTCCAATGACTCATGATGATTTTCTCAGACGTCTCCATTGTCAATCCCTAATTCTGTGCTCCTCCAACATTTTAGTTGCTTCTGTAATTCTTTGTTGGTTTGTTTTTTAGTTTTTAGTTTTTTGGTTCCAGGGATCGAACTCTGGACCTTGCGCTTGCGAGTCAGGTGGCAGAACCACTGAGCTAAATCCCCAGCCCCTATTTTTTTTTTTTTTTTTTTTTTTTGAGACAGGGTCTCACTGCGTAGTTCAGGCTAGACTTGAAATCACTGTGTAACCCAGGCTGACCTCAAACTCTTGGTGATCCTCCTGCCTCATCCTCCTGAGTGCTGGGATTGCAGGTGTGCACCACCATGCCCAGCTTGCTTCTGTAATTCTTGATATTAGGTCAGATGGGTTGCCAACTTTGGGATGAGGTTTGGGGGGACACACACATCTTTCCCTTGGGCCGTGACTATAGAAACACATTAACCAGAAAGCCTTGTCAAAACTTGAAAATGTTATAGACCTGAACGCTGTGGCATCTTTTGTCATTAGTGTCAGATTGTCCTAGTTAGAGAACTGTCTGCTTATCTGTATTTCAGAGCCCCATTAATATCTTACGGCAATAACTCAAGATGAGTTTGCCAAAGTGGGACTCGCTTGGAGCCCTGCGTACCTCTCTTCCTAGAGCCCCCAACCTTAGTTTCTCTCCTTCTTGTGTGCTTCGTGCAGTCGTCTTTTCCTCCCCATTTCTCATTCTCAGGAGCCCTCCTACCTGGCCCTTTCCTCCTCCTTTCTCATCTTCCTCAG